TCTTTCCCATGCACAACAAAACAGATTTTCCAAGGTATATGCCCTTAAATACTTTTCCATTTTTTTGCTCACATCTGCAGATTAAATTAAATAAAGAGGCAATTGATCACTGTAATTAACACTGGAGACATACTGCTTCCAGCAAGATACAGATCAGTTCTGGGCTGGTAGGCAGTGGATTTGCTCTGCCACGTCATGTCTCCCTGTGCTTTGAGGACAAGAGTTCACTCTGCTCCTGGAAAATGAGCCCCAGTGCTGAGAAAATTCATTATGTATGTGTATTCCTGCAAACACAGAGAAAATAGATGCCTTCCTTTTTGTCACGTTGCCTATGAAGACAGAGGTAACAGGAGGAACCTCCCTTCAAACAGGGAGCAAAACTTGTAAAGGGACTAGTATGACCTTTGTTTGCAGGAAACTGCTTTGTTTTTTCGCAGAAAGTGCTTCCCACAGAGCACAGAACATTACTTCCAAGGGACACGGATAGAAAGGGATTTGATGCCCAAAATGGCTGATGTGATAACTAGACTTCATTGCAAAGCCAATATCCAAAGGCAAGGAAATTTCTGAAGGAGTACAGAGAAAGACAAGCTCTGCAGGGGGCTCTCTTACTGCCCTGCCATCCCAGCATAGCTTCTCCTCTGGACCTCAGATGCTCCTTTTTGGAAAACATCCTTATGCAGGTCACAACACTGAAAGCATCTTAAGTGACAGCAGTGATGGGCACAACCAAATCCACATGAACACCCCAAACCTCCACAATTGATACACCATCCTCAGGGCACTTCAGCTGAAGATTGCTAGCACAAAACAACACTCCAGCTGCTTCTTAAACACATAAAATGCAACCACAATATTACACAGCTTTTATACATTAATTACAATTCTGTAAAGTAAGTGCAAACTACTACCAAAGTGCTATTAGCTGCTTTGAATGGAATGCTGGCATAATAGTGCCAACAGGCCTTATCAGGAACTGAAAACAAAATAAATAGTCTTTTGCCCTTAAAAAAAGCCTTGCTGACTTGGAAGCTTATTGATGAAAATAGGTAATTTTTTAAAAGTGTTTATTCTACTGTGCCATAAAACAGAAGCCATATGAATCTGTGCCTACCTGTGGGTTTCTGAGGTTGTCAGTGCTGGTTTCTCTCCTCAGGGTGTTAACAATATGCATGATGCCATTGGCTGCTGGCAGGTTTGATTGCAAAACATTGTACAGTTCCCCCGGCAGGTCTTGATACCGAAACGATGTGATGTATGTCTGGATAGACACACAAGGTTATTTTCTTGTGGTACATCTGTGTTAACCTGATAGATCTATAAATCCTTGTTCCCTCCAGTGCTCTCTGCCTATGGTTCAGTAACTGAGTTACCCTGGAAAAAGTCAATTTAAGGGGTGGCCTGAGTGTAAAACAATCACCCCACCACTGCTTGAGTTGGGTAATATTTTGACCCTGGGGGGTACTTTTAAGTCTTATTACAGGAAGATGACCTAACCTAGCACAGTCAGCTCTAGAATTAAAGTTTGTCTTAGTGAATGATGCTTGATTCCAGTTCTGGATCACAAAAGCATGCACTGACCATCAAGTAGCTGATGCTGGGTGAGAAGGAGGCACCGTGCTTCCTGGGCACCACAGACTTTGGAGGCAATCCTGGACCTACAGCTTTGATTTTAACTTTTATTAGCTCATAATGCCAACAAGGAATTTTCATAACAAAGCCAAAGCAGTCAGGCTCACTGAATTGTAAGGCACATATCTGGTCTTCCCATATTTTGTGAAAACATGACCTGAAGCTGGGAGTATGGAGGTGTTCCAAGGGTAACCAACAAATTAAGCATCAAGGTGTTGGTGCTACAGCCATAACACAAGTTCAAGCAAGCACAACTTCCTCATGCTTTCATTTCACCACATGCATATCTTGAACTGCTCCTCCCTGCCCTGAACTTCAGTTCACATCACTGAGGTTTCTGGCTGAAACAAAGGAAGGGGAGGGCAGACTTGCCAGATCAAAAGACTCTGGGGTAAACAAACAAGAAACTTAAACGGAGCACAGACAAGCTCAGATCGAATTCCCGGGCTTCAAATGGTTCTTTGTCCTTTTAATACATGCAGGGTGCATGTATTACAACCTGCACCTCAAGGCCAAGGCTGGATCCTCAGAGAGAAAACACGTGTCTCCCTCGGCCTGCTGTGAGCATGCGTGCAGGAAAGTGCAGGAGGAAGAGAGAACAGTGGGTGCTGGAAAATATGAGTCAACTGAAAAAGGGAAAATAGCCTTCTGTATCAGAACATAATGATGAAAACTCTTTGCTAGGTCAACTAAGAAAAATAAAAGAGAAAGAGGGGGGAAAAGGAAACTGGAAGAAAAAATATTCAGCATGTGGCCGTGCCCGAGCACAGCATCTCCAAGGAGAAGCATTCAGTCTGAAGAGAGACTTTGCTGTCTCTTCCGTGTCAGCCACATGGATATTGTAGCTGCTATTAGTGCACGTCTCTTCTCCAGAATAAACATACAGACCAAGAAAAGACCATTCACAAGTCAGATTCTGGCTAACTGGTTGTCTATAAGATAGGAGAAGTGCTTGCTTGAAGATACCTAGCCTTAAATCACCTTGCTTCAGACTCCACAAAGGAGCCTGTTCTGATCACAGGCAGGATGATCAGAGAAAAAGGTTTTCTGGTTAAGAAAGCACACCAAGGAAGCTCAAGCTCCAGGTTACCCTCCATAAAAGCAGCAATCCAGGACTTCAGCTCAGGAGATCCTTTACCTGGCTGCTGAATGTCAGCTGATGTCCTGACAAGGTCCACATAGTCTTGGCTTTTACCATGTCTTCTACCAAATGCAGACCAGGAACGATGTGCATTCTGCACAAACGCTCAGCAGTGGTATCCTTTGGGGAATGAAAACCACATAAAGAAGTTAAATTACATGTTCTTTCAAAAACCTCATTCACTGAAGAAGCCATAGTATTACCTTTCTTCTAGATAACATACACAGAGGAATTCTAAGCATGCAAGACTAAGCTTCCTTCTCCATTCTGGTTCACCTGAGTAGACTACAGCAAATCTTTTGCTTCTGTTGTTCACACCTTCTTAAATCCAACTGCTAACTGCAAGCTAGCTGCCACCAGAAACACAACTTGCTGAAGTCTAGAATTCTCAAACTCTTGTCCTGTCTCCCACAGCAGTTGTCCCCAGCCCTGTCATCCTTGCTGTCCCCATTAATAAAACGAGCTCTTCTCAAGAAGTTGACACTACACCCACATCTAGGGCTGCACGCCCAAAATCCAATACTTTGGTACAAATCTCAGCCCCTTTTGAAAAACCCACCCTCGAGCAGTGAAAAGCCACCTAAAGTTTAAAGACTAGTCACACACAGGAGGTTTGAGCTTTAAATGTAGAATGGCCAGGAAAGCTTAGATTTCCTGACATTAAAAATAAACAAACTCTGTCAGTGTTGAAAAGAGAGAGGTTTTAAAAATAATGTGAGGGATGTAACATCCTCTATGAGACTGCAACTTAATCAGACAGTGAAGAGTCTTGCCAAGAGATTGCCTCTATAAATACTGCCTTCCAAATTTCTCATGTGCCAGTTATATTTACAGGCTGCAGAACTCGGGCAGGAAAGAATTCTAAGACAGCAAACATTTGCTAAAGCCAGGAAAACTTACGTTAAATTCCAGTCTGTCATGGATGGGAAGAAGGGATGGTACAAAGACTGTGAAAGGCCCATATTTAGTCAGCAACATTGAGCAACCAGAAGCTGTAAAAAGAGTAACAATGTGAAGTAGTTACTTGGCATATGGTTTAACTTATTATTCCTCTTGTTAACAACGCAATTCGATCTACACATTTTTGGCCTCATGCATCTAACTAGTATTTGGCTACAAGAAATCAGAGGGAGTTTGGTATTGGTATCATAGCCCAGCTTGGTGTTTTAAGCATTTGCCTACAAGATTTCTGAAGGATTACTGGTGGCTTTGATCCACTTTGAAACAGTGATGGAATTCAGAGAATATTTGTAATTTTGTTCCCACATGCTTACTGCCTTATTCTTGGGCCAAATATCCTCAGTCTTCCCCTTGAAACAACTCATTTTTTAGTGTAACTAGGATATAGTGAGACTAAATGTTTCTTGAGAAGCTGCTGTGAACCCACAGTTGTCAGTCTTCACTCAGTCATTAATGGCCCATCAACCAAGTCCACATCAGTAAAGGTCATTAGATATTAAGTCCCACTGCAGAGGAGTTAGGAACCCAGAGACCTTCATGCAGTTGCCCATAAAACAAATCTTATGGAGAACATATGCAAAAAAGGGTGGGTAGCAGGGAGGGGTACTCACAAGAGCTAAGCTGAGCTTTGAGCCCTATCTCTATGCTCGTGTCAAGTTAGTGGAGATAGAGAAGACTCTGCAAAAGATGAGCTGGAGAAGGTATCTAACATACATATGCTTTGACATGAGTGAAAGGATTCTTATTCTTTCCTTAGACTACAGTGAGGCAAACATTAGTCTCTGCAGATATCACTCCCCACATTTGCAGCACAAGGGTTCTAAAACAATCTTATATGTTTTGCAAAGGAATTCCCCACTCAGAAAGTACTGTTGCACATAGAATAAAGCCTCTTCATCTCTGTAATAGCCACTCATACATGCATGCTGGCAAGGAGGCTTTTCAAGGGCTTAGTAGATGTTCTACTAAGTGGAGGATCCAGGGCACACCAGTCTTGAGCATCACTGCTAGAAAACACAGTGTCAGGTGAAAGATTGCTGGGCTTGCAACATGGGTACTGCAGGTGGGGGCACCCTGATGGTTTGATACACATGAGTTTGAATGACACCTCCAAGGCACGTTCTCCTTCTTCTGCAGATATGGTACATCCTTCACCAGGACTGTCAAGTGCCTAATACTCATCCACAGTGCTCTCTGCAACAGTGTCCTCAACTTCCAATCCAGAACTGGTAATATGAGTTCAGAGATGTGATGTGTGTAATTTTGCAGCCCATGGTCATACACTGTGAGACAGATCTGGCCTTTAGCCTTTCCTGACACACTCTTGTCCCCACATTTGCTCCCTTCCCCAAGAAAATTCAAAAGACATTTACCAAACATTTTCCTGGCGACGTTTAATTTTCTAGCAAAATTTCCTCGTGAATTACTGTTACTTATCTCACTCAAAAGATCTTTATAGCAAATTCTCCCATCTCCAATCTCCCCTTCTTTACACACACAGCTAAGAGACAAGAATGTAACATAACAAACCATTAAAAACATTTTGCAACACATTCAGGAAATGTGAGTAGAACACATCAGTATTTACATTTGAAAGACAATTCCCAGCTTCAAGATGTAGGTAAGTGCTTAGGAACTCTTGCCTAAACTAAGAGACAGGAACAAAAATGCACATTTCTGGAGTGCAAACAAATGTGGACCTACCCAAAGAGAATGAAGAAACTTTCTCAGATACAATCAACATAAGGACTGTCTGCTTTAGAGTTCAGGGTACAGATAGCCACAATGTATTTATAAACACTTTCCTAACTAGATATTCAGTCAGTACCAGTCATTACAGCATCTGAAAATTTGAGGTAATGCATAAAAACCACAGGATAAGTGAAAATCCAGCAAACAGCTCCTATGTGACCCCTCAGCCTCAGTGAGAAATGCCAGCTCAAGTATGTCAGTTAGCTGTGGTTCATCTTAGACCTAATGAGGGCCCCCAACAGCTAATGACTTTTCCAGAAAAGCTTATCTACATGTGAAAATCTCTGTCCTGATTCACACGGATTTATAGGCATTACTCAGAGACTACTTAAGATCACTGGCCCATAACGGTGTTTTTTCCCATTTGGGTTTGGTCCAAGTATCAGCTCTGCTCTTTCTGTCTCAGGGATGCAGAGACACGTGACATGGGAAGCATCTGACATGGCTCCAGCCTCAGAGGGCTGAGTGCCAGCTGCTGGGGAACAGATACACTGAGGCAGTGACTATGCTGGACACGGCATCCTGCACTCTGCTAGAGTATCTTCAGAAAGGGAAGTCTCTGCCTTTCAGTTCTGGCCTGCAGCACACAATGAGCAGGTGGGTAACAGTTTTAGCAGCACTGGAGAAGGAAGGGTCAAGGAGTTGGGACTGCTCTTGCTCTCTTCAGTCCCTCAGAGATGCTCCACCTTTTCTTGGTAACACCCAGTGAAGCTTTCTTTGGTGTTTGGGAGGCCAGAAAGCAAAAATGATCCTAGATCTGACAATATTTCCCATCTAAGGTGTATGAACTTCAAGGTGTTTTGCTTCAGAGGACTTAACGAGGTCCAGTGCTTCTTTCCTCCACTTCTCCCCTCCCTGTCAATCTGAAACTGCAATTAATTTCTTGATTACAGGCCTAGATGGGAGGAAAGGCAAAGACTTAGCCCTCAAAATCAAATGTGAGCAAACAAGTCACACATCTCCCCTTTTTATTAACTGATAATACCCTAATACTACTAACAACCTGGGGAAGACTCTGCTGCTCCAGATTTAAAGCATCTTGTGACCCACATGCCAAAATTTACAATGACTGTTGTAAAACTCTACTTTCAATGGGCTTGTTGCCCAAAAAGTGACTCTAGCCTATTCTCTTTAGTTAGTTCTCAGTTTCTTTAAAATTCAGCACAACCAAACTCAGTTTCCATTCTAGCCGCAGAACACACTTCTTTAATAGAAGCAAGCTTTAAACTGGCTTACCTTGGATTCCCCTGGGCATTAATTTCACAGGTGGAAGACACGTCACAAAAATACCACCGGCAATTGTTGGGAAATACAGAACACTCAGACGAAGGAGTTTTTCTATTCATCCCAGGCTTGCAGACACAAGATGCCTAAGAAAAGGCAACATAGTGATAACAGGAGCTGCATAGTGATAATATCATCTCTTACCCAGTAAGTTACCATATAAAAAAAGCTGCTTTCCCTTTGCAAAATCTAAGGTGAGGAGAGCAGGGAGGGTTGGACTAGATGATCTTCAGAGGTCCCTTCCAACCCTTATGACTCTATGAGAGGAGATTTGACAATCTGTTGAGTTCATTTGAAGATCTTCTCACCTGGCCATTTTTCAGACCCTCACAAGTTGCTGGAGAGCTGTTATTACCCTTACCTCTCCTGGACGTCTGTAAACACAAATTGTAGAGTTTTCTGGGCAGCCTCCATTGTTGTCAACACAAGGGTTTATGGGCTGGCAAATCTTCCCATCCCCTTGAAATCCTTCTTTGCAGGTACATTGATACTTTCGTGGTCCAGTAACTTTACATACAGCAAAAGGGGAGCACACAGAAGCAGCACAAGGATCCTGAGCTGTAGATAAAGAGATGAGAGGTGAGAGTAACACATAGCTGCTATTTTCAAAACAGCACTTACAGCAGCACAGCTGAATTCCAAAGGCCTGGAAAGAATGGGGTATAAGAAATGTACAATATTAAACTTCTAAAATATTCCAGGAAAATAATTTCAGACAGCAGACATTCTGGAATTTTTAATCTGAGGAATTTAGATGACACATTCTTCACGTTATTTCAGTAACAGAAGTGTGAGTGACAGAAGATACTTCGATTTACTTCTCAATTTCCATCATATTTGAGGATATATGAAACTGCAGTTTGGTCAGCAAAACCTGCAAAAAAGCCAGTGAAAACAGAGCTATCCACAGGTAGCTAATTGGATGTATTTTATTGACTTTCTTTTAACAAAACTAAGTAACAGGCAAATCTGAAATCAGTGAAGAAACCCTTCAGCTACATGCCTTATTATTTAAACTGGTACAGACTCACCAATATCCCACTGTCACAGTTATTCAGTACATACTTAAAACTGCTGGATGGAACCTGCAACTTTAATTATTTCTTGCTTTCAGGACCAAGTGAGAGGCGAGCCAAAACCTTAGCCCTTAATCTCAAAGGGATTCCTAAAAAACAGGTGCATAAGCCTCTACAGTGAGAGATACCAGTGCAATAACATTTTTCCAAGTAGGCAACCATTTAGTGTCACAGAGAAGTTTCTCACCTTGGCAAGTGCTTCCACTTTTTCTGTAGCCCAGCTTGCAGTCACATATTGCTCTCCCATCTCTCACCACACATTCACTGTTGGCCTCGCATGTCATGCCTTTGCAAAGGGGAAGCTCTGGAATCACACAGCAAAGAGAGCATGCAAGGCACTGATAGAAGATACAACTTACATTTTAAGACACATCTGAAAATGAAGGTAAATGTGGTTTCCAGAGGCCCCAAGCTGGGGATAAAAGTCAGGGGATATAAGCAGTGCAGACAGTTCTAAATCACTGGAAATCTACGTAGTCAGGTCCCTAAGGCTTAGGGAGAAAAAAGGTCTTTCTGGTTTCCAGAAAGAGAACAGAGGTACAAAGAAATGGCACATCTCAGGCTCTGTCACAGACTACAGAGCAGACCCCAGCTTTTCCACTCTGTCTAGATCTCCAGAGCTCAAGATCATCTTCCCTCTACATATTCCCAAGCTATTCATTACCCCCCAGCTCCTTTGGGACAGATACATCCAAGCCCATATCATGCTTTAGCTTTAACAGCCCCTCCACAGCTCCCAGTGTATTTACCTTGGTCACACCTGGGGCCAGTGTAGCCTCCATAGCACGTGCAGCTTCCATCCCCCGTGACGCCGCTGTTGCATTCCCCGTGCACACAGTCACACTCTGCAAGGAAAGTCCAGGCCAACCTGTCCCTCTGCCCCAAGGCAGTGCATAGGCCTCCGGGCATACACTGGCCAACTGCCCTGGGGCTTGGACCCCAATTTCCCACCAGGAACCCACAACAAATGTAGCTGCTTTGAAAAATAAGGCCATGCAAGTCAGAGCTTGCAGAGGGCAAACTGTGTCCTGGATTCACAGAGACAAAGTACTGCCCTGTGAGAGCAGCCTTGAATGCATGATCTAGACCAGGTTTTTAGGCACATGTTCTAGCTTCCCATGCCTTTAAGTCTCCTGCAGCCAGTGTGGAAGGAGGCAGTGTTCTGGGAGCCTACCACATCTGTGACCCCAGCATTGGTTCTGTGTGAGCACAACCACCAAGATCTCACCTATCTCCCCTGTGTGGGAGGATGAGGGAAACGGGAGCTGCTTTAGCAGGCAGGCTGCACTGATCATAAATCACTTCCAAAAATGCCATGCAGGAGAAGCAGCACTGTTTGTATTAATTTTGTGTGAGGGCAACAAGGAAGAAGGTGGGAGACAAGTGGGGCAGTTACAAGAGTCTGGAAAACAGTTGGAAAGTGAGTGTGGATGTGGGATGTGGGTTAACAGCTTGGCTAAAAAGAGAGCAGAAACTGGGATGGCTCTGGTAAGGGGAGGGAGAGATTTACAGTAGGAAAAATGGACTGTTTTGAGTGCAAGACAGAGTAATTTGCCTAATGGGACAGATGAGAGGGGCACAAAGACAGAATGTCAAGACACCTGCTATTAAAAACTGCCAGTTGCCATCCCTTCCTCCTCTCCAAAACCCTTATTCGCTCAACCTCCCCTTCCTCTTTTACTTACTCTCAGCTATTTTTTAGAAGCTTCACCTGAATTGCTCATACTTACCTGACTGGCAGTCCGGGCCAAAACGATTTTCATTTAGACAGTCTTGGCAGGCAAAACCACTGTATTGCTCCTAGAAGATCCCCAAAATGCCCCAGATGTTATTTTTCTCTATCATTGTATTGTTCCACACATTGTTATAATTCAAAATCTCTACCCATTTCTGGTTTTCTTTGACAGTTGAAGCAATACAGTGAAGGAAACTGATCTGTTCAGTGCTCTGGTGGTATCAACCAGCCTACACAGCGGAGAAGATCACAGAGTAAATCAACACACAGAGCACATGCAAAACACCAGCAAAACTCTGGTAGGCATTGAGGAAACAATGTCCTGATCACAAACAAGCATGAATGTACCAGCTGGCTTCTGAAAAAGCAATATGAAATTTACTCATGCCAATGGGACTTTTGAAATTGATTTCACAGGGCTTAGGGAACTTTAGTGCATATTTTAATTGATAAGAAGGTGTCTGTGTGAAATCCAAAAGCAGCTTTCTCAAAGAAGGGCCCAAGGGGTAGGATTTTGGGTTATCCCTTCACAATGCTATTGAGGATGCTGTAAAAACACACATTATACAGCTAGTCTGGTACTGGATCCATTAAGTTAACATTTTTAGGAGCACTGCTCCACGCAGTTCCAATGTGCAGGAATTGTTTATGCTTTTGTTGCACTAAGTCTGGAGCTGTTAAAAAAAAAAAAAAGCATCTGCCCTAAATTCTCTTTTTGGTCTCTCTTCCTTTACTTGAGAGAGGGAGGATCTGCTTGTCATTGTGCAGAAACAATTTATTTGGGAAGTATGCCATTCAAGTCTGGAAAAAGAGCAGCTCATTAAGAGCCAAGTACCGCAGGACTTCTTGTGGATACTGATTATTTCAACTGATCAGAGGGTTAAATCCATGCAATTCTTTCTTTACTTTTCCCTAAAGATCCTTCACAGCTCCATACCCTCACCAACAGTGTCTCAGGGCTATTGCCAACCCCACCAATCCTCCTGGAGAAACACAGACACTGATGCTGGAATGAAGGAAGCTGCTAAAGACCTTACAGGCAGAAGATCAGTATTTCTCCAAGGCATCTTCACAGACATTACACAACCCCCTCTGACAAAAGCACACCACCCTCAGAATAAAGCATGCACTGACCTTGCAGATGCAGGTCCCATTTTGCTGCATACCATCCAAGCATGTCCCATGGCCATTGCAGGGATTTTGAGAGCCACCTGGACACTCTAGCAGACAAGAGGCAGGCCAGACAAGATTAGATAGAACAACCAGCACTACATCCCACTTTCCAACTCCTCTTACCCCACGCATTGCAGTTGTGCAAAAGCAATGGCCTCTTCACTAGCAAAGTCCCTGTCTGCTTATCCAATACACCTAACGCTGGCACAGAGCTGGTGAATCTGGCCAGGAGTGGCACCAAGGAGCACTTCAGCTTCTGGCTAAGAGAAGCCTTTTATTAAAAGTCTAAGGAAAAGTCTCAATGGGCCATAACTAAATTTCAGCAATGGCACTGAAACATGTTTTGAGGTTGAGCCACTGCTGCCAGCATCAGCAGAAGGCAGTATCAAATATCTGAGGACAGTTCTGAAGCTCAGGAGAGGTGGGAGCCTGCTTTGCAAAGGTATTTAGCACTTGCAGCTTTCCCTGACTTCATGAAGAGCTGGGAATGTGCTTAGACAAACACTGTCCATACATCTTTGGAGCTGGGTACCTCCAATTTCTGGGGCCTACTTCTGAAAGTTTTAGATGTGTGATTCCTCTTATGAAGCAAATTTGCTTATTCAAGCCACTTCTGTGTGAGAACAGGCTCGAGCTCTCAAATGACCTCATATTTCCTGCAGAACTGGAACATGTCTTTCCATATTCCAGCAATCAGTCAATCATATGAGAAGAGTTCAGCTTAGCAGGTCTTGCTTTAGGATTTTTAAGACAAACCAAAACAAACTCCCATTACTTGGCATCAACCTGAGTAGGAGCTTTGGGAGGGTTATTTTCACCTTGTGTTGGAATTGCTAAGTATTTTCTGTGGTTGAATGGCTGACTAACTCCAGACTATGCAGGAGCACACGTGGCACATGCACTGCAGACCAGAAGGACATCAGAAAGAAGTATCTTCCTCTTCCTTTGGAAACTTTCTTAAAGAGGAACAAAAACATGCCTTTCCAAAAGCTTGTTTTTATAGAAGAGACAAAAGGAAGTTCCATCAAAGGAGGTTATGTTATGTGTTAAATGTAAGAGGATTCAGATCATCTGAAGCAGATATTCCTTCCCCATTATATTTGTGAACCTCCCAGACAGATAACTGAGACCTTGTGAGTATTTGAAGAATAATTACAATTAATAACCACAATGCATATTTAATGCCTCCTATTAAATCAGTTTGACTTATTCAACACCTAAAGAGTGTCACAGGAAGACAAAAAACTTACCATAGCACTCTGTACCCCAGAATCCTGGACAGCACTTCTTCTCCTCAATTTCCTTCTTACAGATGTGATGGCACCCTGGCTGGGAAAGGGAATTCTCCCCTAACTTGACAGTGTATCTCAAAAAGAACAACCCAAGATTGATGATTACAACACAAACACACCAGGCACCTGTTGGAGGGTTTCTAAGCAATCACATTGCAGTGCACGGAACTCTCAGGGGAAGGAAGGACTGGTTTCCTTCACCATACAAGCACAGAAGGGTTTGCACTCGGGCTAGGTATTCTCTAAGGACACCCATCGATTTGAGTCTCAGTTTGGTTACTAGAAATCTGGCAGGGGTTGGATATGAGACAGGACCTTGGGAAGTCTGAGGGTATCAGGACAGAAATCTTGGATGCTGGAGGGTTAGACAGCATAGGAACAAAGTTAGGAACCCCAGAGTGACTCAGCATTCAGATTCACACCTAAAGTAGCCTTGAAGAACAAAGTCTCCTTGCAGTACTTGTTCCTTCCTGTCTGATACTAAAGATTCCAGATTGAGATGCTGGAAATTTGGATTGAATAGCTGTGTTATTCAAAGATTCTCTATGCAATCTTGGACAAACCCTTTAAATTACCAAAAGATGTATCTTGTTTTCAAAGCTTCCTCCAACCCCTCTGCACACAGGGTAAACCTTTGATGGCAAGGTCTCTTGTTCCACACGTATGCAGCACAGAACTATTCTTGGATTTGTGCAATAACCATCACAGGAGCAGATAAGACTCAGAAAAGCTGCATACACTCACATTATTCTTACACTTCATTTTATTTTTGGCACAACATCCTTCCCAAAAGGAACTTGGAAATTGTCTCAATAGCACTGCTGCTTTTGCTTCAGAGTTCTGTATGTGTCTGTGCAAAAAACTGCTACAAACTGCAAAACTGCTACAGCTATTTTTAAAGTATTTCGACAGAATAGTGAAACACAGAAAACAGTAGACAATGGAGCTATACATTAACTGTTAACATTCACTACTGAATAGATACACCAACAATAATCTATAGTGTTTGATTTTTAAAGAGCTTCCTGGTAAGTTCAATTTTCCATCACCCTTTTCTTATTAGAGCCAAGCTCAACAGAATAAGAGCAAGGAACAGACGAAGAAGCAATTGTCATAAAGCAAAGTAGGAAGGTAAAAAGTTCAGAGGATTATTGCTGGAAGCTGGGAGGATATACTAGGGGAACTATCCTTCTATTATTTTTTTAAATAACCCACTGTGGAATTCTGGGCCTGAAAAACAATTCTCTGCTAAACAGACCTCGGTTAGGTTGCTACAGCAGGACTAGCAAACTCATGCTGTTTAGGGCAAGTTAAAGGTAATTATCACGTCAGTTCTGTGTATATAGAACCTTATATCCAGTCCATGGGATTTGAAAGGAGACAAAGGCAACAATAATAGGGGCCATAAATCCATTTTTATGCATCTGAAAACAAAAGTTCTTGTATCTATAGAGCTCAGAAAACACACACGCTCTCATGAAGGCAGGGACACTACTCCTTGGTGCAGAGCTGCACCAAAACCTTAACAGGGTTAGGAAACAGGCCTTACCTGCAGCCCCTTACTCCTAATCCTTGGGTGGTCTTCAACCAGCCTCTTGGACACAGTATTTTAGGTGCTACAGCACAAGCAGCACACTCTGTATTCAAGGTAAACATTGTCTTGATATTGCACCGCATGGATTTTAACTTAAAAGGAAAAAAAAAAGAATGGAAATAAGCCCAGCATTAAATTGTTACCCCAGCCACTCATATTGCCAACCAAAGATATTTCTTTATCAACATTGCACCATTCTTTAGATACCACTGGGGAGGGCAATGACCAGTGCAGCTGTTGGGAGGTACACCACACACCCATCTGGGCTAAACCATCACATCATGCCCCTCTGCTTGGATCTCAGCTAGAAGGCACCAGGGCATATCACAGCTATCTTATCTTTCCCCTCCACCTCACAGCAAAAATTCTAACAATTTATAAAATAATCATAACTGTGCACTGTTAATTGAAGCTGATCTTTTGCAAACATGTAGTACTGGTATGTGAGGACAAGCCCTAGATTAATCACCCTTGCCAGAAGACACTGAATTAAAATGCAACACAGCATTTCTGTTTTCCATGCCACTGATATGGTGCAGGTCACTGGTGGCTTCGTTGCTGTTTCATGGGTAGAACATCCTCAATGTGTTAGTTCAGTCTGCTCCCCAGAGCCCAGGAGCTGCTCCTGGTGCAGGGGTCAGGGAAGGTAAGTTAAAAGAAAGGTGCTCTGCACCTCTCTGACTACTTGGATGGCCCCTGATGCTTTGACCATTAGCAGCTCTTCTGTGCCCAGAACTCTCTGTTCTTGATTCCCATCAGCAATCTGAGCTTTGCTTCCTCAGAGCTTAAGCTTAAGTGCATACATTTGCCTCAAGGCAAGGCAGGAAGCCCATGACTTCCTATCAGTTATCAAGAGCTCAGGCAGGACCTCACAGATGATAGCAAACAGACCCTGTCAGGAAAACCCCCTGAGAGATAATCCTCAAGTCCCAAGTCCACAGGGACATCTCCCTGGAATGGTTTTCTGAATCACACACATGGTCCCTCTGCCTGGAGCAATTGAACTTTTTCTCATCTTCGTGGGTCCATCCTCTGCATTCATCAACACCCAATGAAGAATGTGATTCCTGTGAGTGTGGTGGCCCATCGTGCAGATAGTAATTTCTAGTTGTGCATCTGGGGCTTTCCTTACTGTACAGTAACCTCCACTTCCTTTGGTGGAAGAATCCCCAAGGAAACTGCTATGTGAAGAACTCCCTTCCTTGCATTACAAATAGCTCAAAACCAATCTGAGATCCACTAAACCCACCTATCCATGTCCTGTGAGCACCAGCTTTAGCAATTTTATCCTTCAACAATGTGGCTCCATTTCTAAGTGGAAATGGACACTGGGAGAAGGGCTGTCACTCCTTCCTGTTGGCATCTTTAATTGCCTGTAGCCCTCTAAGACAGTTATTGCGGAATCCCCCCTACCCTACCTTCCTGGGACACTTCATGAGTTTTAGGCAGCTTTCCAGTAAGATCTTCCCCTTTTTGTAAGGAAATATGCTTGTGTCAGCAGCAACAAGTAGGAGGAAAGAGGAAGAAAACAGCTGTGTGGAAAATAATGTTAAAAAAATATTTCCCTTCCTATTTAAGTGACAGAACTGATGAAGCAGTCATTTTCTGGACTGTTTTACCTCTTAGGAAAGCAGAAGAGAATTAAGGGACATCAATGCAACAGTTTGGATAGTGAAATATTGGGGAGGATGAAAGATAGAGAGGAGTTTGAGTCAGGCAGCTGCTGGGGCACAATCTCATGGAAAATAATTGCGCAGTGCTCCCTTGGGCTCATCTGTGATAAGTGCTCCTAAGTTTGCAGATGCTGGAGAGGAAGCAGTGGCTGCTCCTGTGATTCAGCAATGCTGCCTGGTGGGTCAAGAGTCAGAGAGGTGCACAGTAGCTACAACAGAGAAAGGAGGTGAAAATAGTCACTCTTCTGATCAGATGATATTAGGAGCCTGGACTGTGTCACACTCTAACATGCATGTGCATGAGCAGCTGCTGCCCTCTGTGCTTAGCTGAGACACATCTGAGCTTCTGGATGCTGCAGTGTTCCCTCTCTTCCTTTCACTCTGACACACCTCAAGTGCTCATATTTCTCTTATTCCACCTCAAGAGAACAAGCTGGGAGGTTTTTTTAAGGGCTGCTTTCATTCCCCTCATTTTCACCTTTTGTCTTTTCCTCCCAATCCATAACACAAATCCTACACAGCAAAAGCTCCAGAAAGAAAGAAAAACACATTCAGACACCACCATTTGGCTCCAACAATCCTGGAAGCCAGTTCTGGTAACAGTCTTTATCTTATGAATCATCAAGTTTCCAGGGCATTTGCCCTTTTCAAAACAAAACTGTAGACACATGCTTGAGTCATTATAGTTATGCACATTCCCAATAAATTCTCAGTTACACTTTAGCTGGACTGACCAGTGGCTCCTGGACACACAAACCTTTTGCATTTGCACAAAGATGAACAGCCAAGCTCAGACATAACACAAGCTCTACTGTCGCCCTGGGTGTTTTCCACCATCTCAGCTGCAGAGTACAGGAGGCACAATGATGCAAAGCACTCCCCACTTATCCCACCTGTCTCCTCCACTCCTCTTCCAGCACAGCCTGGGACTGATGTCCTCCCAGCAGAAAAACTTCCATTTTCCTCAAATTTGCTGCATCTTCCCCAGCCCAGACTAAGAGGTACACAAAAATCAAATCAGGCCAACAGATTTCCTGTCACGTTTGAGACATCGAATCAGACCCCTGAGGTAAAATCACTGAATAAGCACTAGCACAAAATCTCTTATCTCTCTTGATGGCCCCTGCAAGGCTCCTGCAAGCCAACAGAGGCTTCTTGTGGAATCACAGCACTTCTGCAATTAAATCCAATGGCTATACTAAGCTATTGGAGAATACTTCATTAGACACTTATTTTTCCTTACCTCCCATTATAACCTTTCAAATATTTCTTCTCTTTCTCCAAAAAGAGCAAACTTTTTGAGGAAAAAAAATCTGAAAGAGAGGTATTTTCCTGGATTAAATAAACTGCTCCAGAGGTTTCAGTTCTCTGTGAGAGGGTACTTGATGCTTTAATTGTTTCATGACAAGCCAGACACCTCAGCGATTACAGAAATCAACACATTGTCTGAGAGTCAAAAGACCAAAATTTTCCACCAATTGAAGATTGCCCATGCCTCTGAGCACAATACTATAGTGGAGCCCAGCTGTCTGGAAGCCATGCCTCCAGACAAAAAACCCCACACCTCTAGAGACACTTCTTCAAACTATATTTGTGCACAAATCACCTTAATTAACCTACAAACCCAAAGGTTTGTGAGGTTCTTACCTTATTTGAATGCTTATTAATTAAATTCTGACATTGAGTGATTTCTGACATTTCAGTGATCTGAAAGTCTTTCAAACCCAAATGCATCTTCCTTACCACAGTTCTGTCCACTCCCCACAAGGCTCCTCTCTGTCCTTCAAAACAAGAAAATCTTTCTACAGCTCAGATTTCCAGGGAGTAAGATTTCCAAATACCCCACCCAGCTTCTGAGTTAGTATGCCAGTTCATTCCTCCAAGACCAGGATGCAAGAAGGGCGATGGCAGAAGACAACACAGTATGAATTAGTGTGAATTCCAGCCTACAGAAAATGGGATGTCTCACCATGAAGCCTAGAGAACAGATCTACAGACATCAGACATTCTTTTAGATGCTGCTGCTAAGCACAAGAGCAGAGATAAAGGAATTAAAAGAAAAGCAACAAACTGCAACAAAACCAAAACAAAATGGAAAGCATTCCACACTCCTCACTGGAGAGCTGCTGGGAAATGTACTTCAAAAAATTAAATGAGATTTTTTAACTCTATTTTTTTTTTTTAAATAAAATTTTCCTGGGAAACTTATGGACCTGTCCTGCCGGATGCTCCCATCACATGAACTGAAAATAGCGGAAGACAAAGATGCCAAGTATATTCCTTCCATGCTGCTAGTTTTGCCTTCAGCGCTGCACATAAATACAAATTTAAGCCGATCTAAAACTCAAGCACTTCTCTTCAACCTTATTTTTAGTTCCTCAGCTTAGACTACACACATACGCAATAAGTAGACAAGATACCTTACAGTCTTGAAATGTAATTATGGATGCTATTCTGCACCAAACTAAACGTCAATGAAAAGAGGAGTTTTGGGGAGGACTAATTCATAACACACAACCGTCCGAATATGAAGGACTGTTTAATGAACATTTAAGCAAAGACTCACAGACTTACCTTCTGAACCTGGCAGTCAGCTGTGGGAGTGAAGCATGCTGCTAAGAAGAAAAAGAGCAACCCAGGAGGATGCATTTTCATGCTGTTACAGGCAGGACCCTTTCCACAAAAGGGGAGGCAATAGAGGCTGCAATTTCTGTAAGATAAGACCGCCTACTAAGAATCAGATCCAAGACAAACCAGAGGTTAAAAGTAAACAAGGAGAGAGCATTTTTGCACTGTGCTCTTTGGCTGCAAAGACTTCAGAAGTGGATCTTCTACTTCTAGCATTACGTCTGAATCAATACCACCTTTTTCTTTCTTTCTATTCTTTTTTTTAAATGCAGAACTCCTTAGTAAAAGGTTTACTGAAAACAGGAACAGCTACGGATTTCCTCTTACATATCAGTTCAAAACAGAAGGAAGGAAATCCTTAGTTTTCAACTAATTGGAATGAAAAGATGTTAACTGTATGCTTAACTGAAGGCAAATCCAAGGGCCAAATTTAAATACCATGAATTCATGAAGAGTAAGTTAATTTCCTTTTACCACCCATGTTAGTATGTCTTCAACATCTCAAACAGAACAGAGACCCAACCACTGCCTATCCCAGAGTGGGCACGAACCAAGTAATGTGGGTGACATGCTGCGCTTCAGAGCAATAGTGTAAGCACAATCCTATCAATCAATCAATCATTTTGGGTAGGCTTTGATACTGATTTAAAATATTTTAGTTTCTCAGCAAGAAAAGCATCACATTTTTCAGGTGCTATGGCAGCACTGGCAAAATATATAATTTTCCAAACACTCTGCTGACAGCTTAATGAATCCAAGGAGCACTTCCACAGTGCTCAGAATAGGAAACCCCCAAACTGAGATTAAAAAAACCCAAACATGCTAGCATGAGGTATGGTCTGCAATTGAATTTCTCTTTTTGAACATTATAAACAACAAAGAATTTATTACTGACAGATTTTACATGGAGTTTATCTCCCTAAGCTACCAAGAGAACCCATAGCACTGAACAGTCTACGGACTGCAGCTGTTAGTAACAAATCCTACTAAGCAAGGAGGCATCTTTTCATTTTTAAGTCATTAATAGTACATAAAGACTCCTACATAGAATCATAATAGGAAGGCACTTTTGGGTTTACGTAACTAATGGAGAGAATGAATAAGTAGTATTTTTTTTGCCCCAAAGATACATGTGCTAATACATAAGAACTGCTGTACTTACTAGTGCTGTTAATTGTGCTCTGCCTCTTCCTCCATCCCACAGAGACAGCCAGCATGATGAACAGCAAGCACTACTATATATCCCGCACCAACAGGAAGCAGATAAGGCACAACCATCCACTGCAACCCACGTGAGAAGTACCAGCCCACAACTCAATCTGACCACTCAGCCACTTGTCCTGTTGCAGAGCAACTGCAGTCCTGGGACCATCACTGCCCAACAAGATGACCACTTTGCCAAGGTCAGACAGTCCATGCAGCTCTGAAAACCATTTGGTACCCTGCAGATCTGTGCAGTGAGGCAGAGGCAACATAGCTCAGACCACTGTGGTAGGATGGCCAAGTGGTAAACGGACAGTGGAGACATTCTTATAGAGTGGGATGTTAGTAGGGAAGCTGTATGATGCTTTCTTTACCTACAGTCATAGTATCAGACTAGCCATGTAAACAGAACAATGAGACTGCTTCTCTGCTCCATGCTACCTGTTAGGTATATACAGCTAGAACAGGCAGCCTAGAAGGATGCTGAGTGCTTGTTGATGGGTGTTCCAAGAGCTGGTTGTATGACACAGGGTTTAAGTTGCCAGTAACGGGCATCCACAGATAGCTTTTAAGGTGAAAATTCCTTTACGTATTGATGAAAGTTTGGATCCTCTAGAGGAACTTATCTAAGACCTGGTGTTTTTTCTGTGAACATTCAGAGTTGAGAAACTGCTGGCAAAAACTACTCAACCTGTTCCATGGAGGGGGTGGAGAAAGTCACCTGGGTAAAGACAGAGGATACAGCTCAACTCTCCCAGCCTCCCTGCCCACGCCACACACTGCACTTTAAAATGCTGGGTCACCAGCCCTACTCTGTGAAGTGTGTGCTGCCCTGGCTGGCTTGAGCAATTTCCTGCTATTGAATTCTTTTGTTTAAGAAGTCTTTACAGAAATTACAGAGACAAATAGAAAGATTTACCATTCAGTCCACCACACAGCTTCAGTAGGAGCTGACCGTTTGATTACATCCACAATAAGAAATGCTTGCAGACTCTCACTCCACACTTCTGGGAAAGCCAGGGAAAAACAATAAAATCTCTTTGCTCTTAATCATGTGTTACAAAGCTGAGTCTGAAGAGGCACTAGCAAATGGTTAAACAGCCCACAAGCCAGAAGTACTTGTGTGTAGGAAGATGGTCTGCTGTACCACACTCAGCGAACACATCTCTGATGCTGTTGGTGCAGAGGCTTGATCACAATCCTGCTTGCTTTTTAAAAAATTTTTCTCTTGGCAAGTTGGAAGGAACAGGAATTTTAAAGTTTGCTGATAAAAGCAAAAAAATAAATAAATAATCAAACATCACACAGCAAGTAGGGGACAGTTTCTCTCTCATATATGCAATGGTGCAATTCCAAGTAGACAGGTAGAGCTGCCTGAGCAGAAGGTTGTTGCGTGATTCAGGAAGAAATCATCATGGCTGCTTAGATCCCACTAGTCCAAAACCTTGAATGGCAGCAGGACAAATGTCAGTATAGAAATGCTACAACTCCTGTCTTTTTTATTGCTATTGACTCCCAGTTCCTTTACACATGCTCCTGCAGTGAAAGTCAGCTCCATGTTCCCATCTCTTGGTTTTACTTTTGTGCCTTTCCCATCTATTAAGCAGTGCTGGGAGAGTCAGGCACCAAACTCTCCACAGATAATCAATATGAATTAGATATCTGCGTAAAACTTTGTCCGAACAGACTGAGCTACTGGAACTCAGCACCTGCTCACATCAGCATGACCAAGGAAGCAGCGTGTTTTCCCATGGTGGTGCTGCTAATCCTTCATCTACCTACAAGATTACCTACAAGGGATAGAAAGGGCCTATAATGTGCTTGACTAAAGCTACAGCAAACGCTTTGACAAGAATTGCACTGAAGTGCCTGCCTGAGAACATCACAGAGATGAGGTGGGATCCCACTACCTCAGTGTTTTCAACATCTTTAACGATGCTGGAAGTTCTCATAATTCTGAGACCTCAAGGTCTGAAGCATGAAGGCTTAAGTGCCTGGCGCACCACAACCACCTACAAAACTGTGTAATTTTGCAGAACTTTCTAAGGAAACCAATTGTGGAAAGCTCCAAGAAATCTTTGAAATTAAACAATCAGCCAATTCATAAAGGTCAAGATGAAATATCACACATTTTCAAGGAAAACGCATTTCAATAAACCCCTATGTTTAGAAACAAAAGATTACACAAGAATTAGACAATAAAGACAACAGGCTGGTGCTGAGGAACAACGGTAAATAAAATTTTGGCTTAACATTGCACTTAAATGAACATAAATTTGTACCCACAAAGCATTGTAACTCTTGCAGGTTTTAACACAGGCAAAAGAGCAGGGCATCAGCTACCTGGTGGCAGAAGACAGGAACTTGTTTTGAGTTTTATTAGGTTCTTTTTCCCCAGGTAAACATGGAGAAAAGTTAA